CCGCTTTGAAAGACGAAGAGATACCGCCGCTCGTTCCTACCGACTGCTGTCAGGCTGCTGAATAAAAAATGAATAAATAAATGAATCATAGAATTATTTAAATGATATGACAACATATGTGAATAGTACTGTGACTATTGTATTATATTGCACTTAATTATTGACCTTATCCATGTTTGTATTTATATTGCACTTAATTGAACTGTGTTTTCTTTTCTCTTCTTTCTACCCACAATCTTGCTGCTGAAGGCTGTAAATTTCCCCAGTGTGGGACAAATAAAGGATATCTAATCTAATCTAATCTAATCTAATCAACCACCTTAGTTTAGTTTTATACTGCAAAAATATACATAATGTGCATTTAAAGTAACTACCGTAAATTCCGGGCTACAGACCACACCTGATTAAGAGCCGCATGCTCAGATTTATGAAATAAATTTTGTAATTATATGCGCCGCACCGTACTATAAACCGCTGGCCAATGAGTAGGCGGGGGTTTGCTTCTGCATCCCTGCCGCCTGGAGCCGCTTCCGGGTGAGGCCGCGAACGCGGTCCCCCGCCGAACCCCCGCAGAAAAAAACGCAACATCTCTTTAGGTTAAAATAATCTCCATATTTTTATGAGCATGAAAAATGCATTTGCACAACGAAATTACGCTGAAACGCATAATAAGAGGCCAGACAAAGAGAGATCTCGCCGCTGAACCCCCGCAGAAAAAAAACGCAACATTTCTTAAGGTTAAAATAATCTCCATATTTTTATGAGTATGATAAATGCATTTGCACAACGAAATTACGCTGAAACGCATAATAAGAGGCCAGACAAAGAGAGATCTCGATGCGCATTTGTGTAATTACGAGGAAAAATACTGCAGCCCACTAGGCTTTAAATAGAATAATGCAGTCACCTTTTTTATTTACAGTCCGAGTGAGAGGCAAATCAAATGTCAGAGGGTCTTCGTCCATATTTATTATTTCATCTGGGCTGATGGAATTCTCCGGTATCTTTGTTCGTGTGAATGTGCGGAACAAAGCAAGTTTGTCCTCGTAATTGGGAGGGAGCTGCTGACACAATGTCGTGCGTGCCCTAATAGTAGAGCTAAGATCGGCCCTAAAAAATCGAGCCCGACCCGACTCGGCCCGAGGCTATTTAAGCCCGACCCGGCCCGAGCCGGATCACTTAAGTTGATTTGCAGGCCCAAGCCCGAAGCAAACCCGAGATTTCATATTCAGAGATGAAAGTCCTCCGGATTTTCCCGGAATTCCGGGTTTTTCAAATTTTTATGAAAATCTGTCCGGAGAATTGAGGAAAATTTGGCTAGCTTAGTTTAGCTGTTGCCGTGTGTGACGTCGGGTCTGTGACGTTGTTGCGTCAGCGCTGATTGGTTGAAATCAACAGACGCGCTTGCGTACATGTTCGCGCTGACGCACGCACAGCAGAGAGCAGCGGACAAGCTAGAGTGGCGTCGTCACAACAGTAATAATACCCTCGTCTCGCATTCTCATGGCCTCGCCATATCTCTGAGATTTCGAAATTTCGGTGAGAACGGGAGCCACAAAGGGTGCATGAGCCCGATCACTTAACTTGATTTGCAGGCCCGAGCCTGAAGCAAACCCGTGATTTCATATTTTATTTGGGAGGACTCGGGAGGAGGAGGGGTGATTGCTGATCACAAAGCCTGTCTTTTGGAACGAAATCTAAGCTAAACAAGACTGGATAAACATTTACATCCATTATATTTCTGTTTCTGAAGAGGTTACATTAACGGACAATTTTCCATCATTGACGGATTTTTTTTAAGAGTGGACGGGGAAAATTTAAGGCCGTCTGTAACGACAGGTTGAAAATTGGGCCATTCACCACAGTAGCAATACGTCCTTAAGAATCGAGCGCGACACTTGAAGAGAGAGAAGCAGCGAGACAAAAAAGAACAATGACGGCTGGATCATAAAGATATGAAGGAGTTCTTTGAATTGTCATTGCGAGAGTTTTAGTACAGTACCTGTTGTGATGACGGCATTTCTGTTTTTTTGCGAACCATGGTCTCTCGTGGCCAAAACAATTAACGGCCTCGAAAAAAAAAAAAAAGTCAGCGAGAGAGAAACAAACAAAAAAAAAAGTCAGCGAGAGAGAAGCCCGACCCGAACCCGAACAATGATTGACATTTTTAGGCCCGACCCGAAATTTGGGTCGGGTGGCCCGATCTTAGCTATAGTGTGTGTGTGTGTGTGTGTGTGTGTGTGTGTGTGTGTGTGTGTGTGTGTGTGTGTGTGTATATATATATATATATATTATATTTTTCCGGAATTTTCAGGAAAGTCCACTCATCTCTGCATATTTTATTTGTGAGGACTCGGGAGGAGGAGGGGTGATTTCTGATAACAAAGCCTGTCTTTTGTAACGAAATCTAAGTTAAACAAGACTATATAAACATTTACATCTTTTATATTTCTGTTTCTGAAGAGGTTACATTAACCGAAAATTTTCCATCATTGACGGATTTTTTTTCAGATAGGACGGGGAAAATTTAAGGCCGTCTGTCATTTTGACGGGTTGATAATAGGGCCGTAAACCACAACAGCAGTACGTCCTTAAGAATCTAGCGCGGCACTTTAAGAGAAGCAGAGACAAAGACAAACAATGACGAGTGGATCATCGAGACATGAAGGAGTTTTTTGAATTGTCATTACGAGAGTTTAGTACAGTACGTGTTGAGATGAGGCCACTTCTGTTTTTTTCCGAACCACGGTCTCTCGTGGCCAAAACTATTCACGGCCTCGAAACTAAAAAAAAAAAGTCAGCGATTGTCAGATTGATATTTTAGGGCCCGAATTTCGGGTCGGGTCGCGCTCGGGCTTGGGCGGCCCAATCTTATCGTTTCATGAATCTATAACACCACGACGGCCCACCTTTAAAACCTTTGGTTGTCTTTTTACACTGGCTCAGTTCTTCTTGCCGGAGCCTCCACCTTCGCACCATCGACTCGTCTATGCCAAGATTAGGGGCAGCAGCTCGATTTCCTTCTTTAACTGCCAGAGTGATCGCTTTTAGTTTAAAAGCTGCATCATATGCTTTTCGTCTGGTATTCTCCTTGTTGATCAGT